GAAACTGAATTAAGAGCACCTCCAAAGCCCACTGCAATGCTTAGGTTCCACTTTTTTTTTTTTTTTTTAAGATTTTATTTACTTATTTGAGAGAGAGAGAGAGAGAAGAGTGTGCCTGCACACATGCACAAGCGGGAAGGAGGGGTAGAGGGAGAGGGAGAAGCAGGCTTCCCGCTGAGCAGGGAGCCCGATGCGGGGCTCGATCCCAGGACCTGGAATTATGACCTGAGCCGAAGGCAGACGCTTAACGACTGAGCCACCCAGGCGCCCCAGTATAACGAATTCTTATATTAGGACAGGTACACAGGTAAAGTTGACAAACGTGAAGAGCCAAGTTTTTTTTTTCCCAAAATACATATTCAAGTTCATATATGAATAGTTAAGTGTGGTTTTACTCAATAGTTATGTTTAAAAAAAAAAAGTTTATATGCCCAACTTTATAACATAAATTATTTATTAACAAATAAAAATAAATAAAATGTACTCATGGAGTTTTATACTTTAAAGTATTATTTTGTAAATCAAGAAATCTTTTTGACTCTGCTGATATAGTATGAACTGAGATTCTTGTATGTAAGTATTGGTTTTTGTATAATGGTTTACATCTATTCAAATTAAAAAAAATTATTTCTAGACATCTTGAATAGACCCGTGAGGCAGCATGTTGTATTAGAAGGGGTAGAGTCCTGGGAGGTAGCCATTTAGTTTGAACTCTCTCTGCCACTTCTGAGCTATGTGCCTCAGTTTCCCAAGCGACAAAATGAGAATACCAGTCACCTACCCCATATGATTATTTTGAAGATGAAATGGGATAAGGAGTGATAAAAGCCCAGCATCGTGCCTAGTGCATAATAGTTATTCACCAAACGTGAGAGCCCTCTCTCCTTGATTTCTTCCCCACATCTCTTCCCTGGCAGCCTGGAGTGGTTAGCAAAGGGTGAACAGTTGAAACCACTGCTAAAAGCAGATGAAGAGTTATAAATGAACCTATTTGTTGAAAGTCTGTTCCTTCAACAAGTTGTTTGTGTCTATTACTGGCAGGTGCTGCAAGGGATACAAAATAGTCTAAGACAGTTCCTGTCCTTAACAAAACAGATTGGGTAACAAGCTGGGTAAACAAAACACTCCTGAAAAAATAGAAATACCGGCATAATGCTGATTATAATGAAACAGTCCAAGTGAATGACAGCACCAATAAATGCTATGGGATTTCATGGGAAGAAGAACCCAATACAGGCTTGAATGATCCAGGAACCCTCTGGAGAACCCAGAGCTTGCACTGGACTTTGGAGAATGAGTAAGGTCTTAAGGGGAGGTCATTCTCAACAGGGGTTTCTACAAGAGCAACATCTCGGGCAGAGATAATATGCAAGGAGAGACCAGGCAGGTTGGTGTCAAAGGACAGTGCTCAAGAATAGTGTCTTTCTTTACCTTTTTTTATCAGGTCTCCAAAAGCTCTAATGAGAGAAAGTGTGTCCTGGGGCTATGGCAACAAAACTCTAGAGCCCTCGTGATTCCCTCTAAGAACATATAGTCTGCTTAATCTTCCTCTCTTCCAACTGCTTCAAACTGAATACACGATTCCAAAAGGACTGCAGATTTTCAGGGAATTTTTCTTCCCCAGAATTTTGATGTGTTCACTACATGTGTTCGCTGTCAGCTGAATTGTATGTCAATAGCAGGTCGGTCAAGATTTACTTATAATATTTTTAAGAAAGTACGACTAGGAAGCACATGTGTTATTGCAGAGAAGTAATCAAAGAATATACGATGAATCTCTCTCTTCCCCTATTAAAAATTAAATCATTATATACAAGATTAGTCTCAGCTCCAAACTTCTGGAGTTTATGCCTTCTATTAAATTATTCTTTTTATATAATGTATTTTAACTTCATTTTAATAACACAGAAAATATTTGTATTCAATGGGTAACTATGCCAAATGGCTTGAATTCTTTGGGCAGCTAAAATGTAACTGTTTGTTGTGGCCTGAGGTACACCGGAGGTTTAAAAAAAAAAAGCAAGGTAAGAAATCCCACAGTAACCACATGCTTTCAAGTTTATTATTAGAACCATGTTCTATGTGACATTGGAAAGCAGGGTATGTGCTAGAAGGAGGCATTTGAGGGACTCAGGGAAAGCCAGTAATCTGTCCAACCTTCTGCAACAGTAATGGATACAATTCAAAGAACTGAATTACTAACAGGAAACTTACAGGTTATAACTTATGTAAAGTACTTAAAATTTATGAAGCTCATGCAACATTTAAGCAACGATCTGTAGTTTCTCTTTCATACATATGGCTTAAGAGTCAACACAGATTGCTTGGCCATAAACATACTAGAAGAAATTTATAGTAAAATAATAAAAAAAAAAAATCTTTGGAAATTTTGTTTTTCTAAATTCTCTTGAAGAAGGATTATTACAGACTATCAGGACAGCAATCAAAATAATTTATCCACAGATTTATACATGACCACTGCAAAAATGTAATGTGCCTTCGGACATTAAAGGGGAGCGTACAAGAAGAGGAGTAGATTAATAATAAACCTGGGCAAATTCTAAAGCAGCACTCACTAAATGTATTTAATAATAAAGAGAGTATGTGAGCATGGCAAGTCTGAGGCTGATATTCCTGTTTAAAAGCCTCTGGAAGAACTTACATCAGATGCAAAGATCAGCGTTAGCACCTCTCCTGGAGAGCTGCAAAGTCTGAAAGCTGCAAATCATGTTTAAGAGGCTGCCAATATCCTCTTAGAAATGAAGCTCCAAAGAACCTCAGATTCTAAGGGTTAGAAGCCAACCCTTAATCTCTCTTACTGTTCTTCTCACTCCAAAAGCTGATCCTAAATCAACTTTCAAGATGGAGATAATATCATTCAACAGAAAGATCACTATCCTAAAACTGAGGAGCTTCATTAGCTAAAGTCAACAGACACATTAGCAGGTCATACGATAGTCAAACCCTGGAGGCCAGAAACCATTAACATACTGTAAACCCTCAAGAAGTCAGAACTTGTGATATACAGTGTAAGGGTCGCGCTGAAGTTTCTGCTTACTTAGCAAACCCGTATTTCATAAACAACGAAGTTCAATTGTGTAAATAAGATTATGATGTGGATATATTAAAACACTTAGGAGAATAACTTCTCAAGCATTTCAGAGACACCTATTTACATACAGAGTAGAAAATAAATGCTTGCTGAATAAATTAATGAATGAATATAGATAATATACTAATTACAGATCAGTAACGTGTGTTGTAACATAACTTAAAGACCTCTAAGAGAGGATGGTATCAGTTTAAAAAGAATGAGTGAAGTATATTAAACCTACCTCACTTTTGAACTGTTCTGGAAAGCTGTCTTTTAAATCTTTATTTATGTGTAAATTCAGATTTTTCAAAATATCACTCTGGGCTTTTAAAAGTTCTATGTGGCTCTCCTTCTATAGCATCTAGCATGATGTCACCTATAATGAGGAACTGATAATATTGTCTAAAAGATGCCTCTTTGGTCCTTCTCATGAGAAGGAGGAAATATAGCATGAAATTTAAGAAAAGACAAATTTAAACAAATAATGTTATAATGTCTTGTAACTGTAGCAGAACAGTGTAGGGAAAACATCCCCCCACACACACACAACACCACCCCACACTTTCAAATTCCCCCTTCCTTACATGATGCCAGAAAGTGGCAGTGAGTAAGTCAGGCACGTTCCTTTCCAAATTAAAAATAAACACAAAACTTTCAAATGTCAGAGGCCTTCCATACCACATTATTGATTGGGAAAAACATGCAAGGCTCATGGCAGAATGGAGAAGACCATCAAAATCCTCCTATTCAGCAAACATGAACCCTAGAGTTGCTGGGATATAGGATATTAGGTTTTGGTCTCCTGCACTGTCCTAAGTAAACAGATCCATGACAGAAGTCTTTGGGGCATGTATTTATCTACCGCGGAATACAACAGAAAGGATAAGTTACTGAAGGTCTTAAAGTTACTGAAGGTCTTCTTGTATACAACTCCCTGAGATACAAGCTATTTGCACTGGCCACTCTAGAAAGAGGAACTCTTTAAGAAAGTCTGGTTTGAAAGACAGTCACCACCCAGCTGGGGGATTACTTCACTGACCACAACTCTAACTCACTACCTAAACTTACCCTCAGTAACTTGCTTTGTTCTTTTGGGATCACCATAATTCCCGTTCAAGATTTCTGAATTTGACCCAGATGAAAAACACAACTTAAACAAGGACCGAACACCACTACATCATCTGAGTAACATCATTCCAAACGGCGACGCTCTCTAACAAAATGTCAGGTAAAAATATAGCCTTCAAAATTACATAAATAAGCTAAATCAAAGAGAACAAGAAGAAATGAGTCACCTCCTTTAACATGATGAATGCCTTAAGAGCTACATCTTAGGTATATTTGTACACACTAGTAATACGTAAAAGACTTAAGTCCATAAACTACTCCCTTGCTTAGGTAGCTGGCCAGGTGAACTTAACCCAAGAAAAATTTCATCCGGGCTGTCAAGAATGGTGTCTCAGGTGAGGTGGCCAGTTAAAACAATTGGACATTGTTTTGGATCACAATAGCTTTCTATCTATATCCAAAGTACAATCTGCAAAGTTAATTTCTGCATCCCTCTACACTCTGCATGTTAGTGTGTATATCCTGTACATCTCCAAGCCCCCACCAAAACGTTAGTAAAATGAAAAAGCACTTATCTACAGGAAACTTATGTGGGTTATCATAACAACATGGAGCACATTTAATTAATCACACTTCCTTTGATATAAATGACCATCTATGGTCACAGAAAGAACAGTGAATTAAATGAGTACCAATAACACAGCAATCAGAACAACCCCCCAATTATTTTTGTACTACAAAAGTTTGATGATCTAAATGCAAATATATTCGAAAATCTGACAAAATATATCCACTTATGATTTCATCAAAAAGATGGAAATTTTAAAACTCAAATGTTCCCAGTAAGTGGTTATTCTTAATACTGTGTTGAAGGTTCAAAGTAGAAAATATTTTAAATCATACTGTGAAATTAAATAGTAACAAAACAATTTACTTACTTCTGGATACCCTCACAAGTTCGGACACATTGAAGACTCCAGATTTTACAAAACTATCCTCCAGGTAACCTGAAAATAAATATCAAGAGGAAAAAGATCAGCACAAGCAGGAAGCAAATAAATGATTAAATGCTAGGATTTGTTCAAGTGTTTTTAAACCAAAGGTTAGAACAAAAACCAAGCGTGCTTGTAACAAACACAAGTAAAAGCAAAACTCTTTGAATGCAATCCGGGGTCTGTTTAAACAAAAGTAATAAGTTGAGATGCCAAATAATTTCCTAGGGAAATTTTTACCCCACTTGCTAAATGTACAGGGCAACTGGAATGGTTTTATTTGCCACAGCCCACGCATAGAGAATGAAGACTCAGGGGTTCTTACCGAATGCATTCAGCTCGGTAGCACCTGGTAGACTAAAGTCCACCCATTTATGAAAAAGGAAAACCACAACCACAATTAGAACCTTGTTGGAATTACTTCAAAGATTTCTTGAAACCACTGTTCTTTCACAAATCCTTCCCTGATTAAAGAAAAGCGAGCTGCTGTTAGCAGCACTCCCCGACCCTTGTTCCAAGGTCATGAATCACACAAAAGCAGAACTTGCACATACGGCAAATACTTTGCATAGACCTATTTCCACGCACCTTTGCTATACCTCACATGATTCCACTGCCCTCCCAACTCTTGCTACTACTTCCTTGGACTCCCTTCATTTCGAGAACTGCATACTTTTTCTAGCAAACGGTGATAAACCCCAGGCCTCCAGGAAAGCCACGTGACCCTTCTGTGACATCCAAGTGCAGGGTCCACAGTGACTGTGGCCCACTGTTCAGGAGCCTGAGTAAGTTCTGTGCTGTCTGGGATCTGGTCAAGCTGTGTCCAGGATTAGAAATGAGCACTCCCACAAATACCCGATCACGTCCCCAGCTTCTCATTGATGTGCAGGAGGTGTGCTGAGGGCAAAGAGGGACAGAATACCAGGAGGAGAGATATGGTTACTCTCTGCTTCCCAGAAAGAGAATAAGAAAAGCCTGAAAGCCCTCAGAATGCAAATGTTTCCAGGAAAACAAACTCTAGAACCGGCAACTGGATCAGATGTTACATCAAGTTTTGAGGCTAACCAGGGGATTCGATTCAGGGCAGGACTGTGAGTCATAGGTGGTTTAGCTCTCAAGTCAGGGAGCTGGAATTTGACACCCAACCACACTTTATCAGTGTGGAATCCTGATCATGTTATTAGACTCCTGGTATCTCAGACTCCTCATTTAAAAACTAGAGATAATTGGGGCGCCTGGGTGGCTCAGTCGGTTGGGCGGCTGCCTTCGGCTCGGGTTGTGATCCCGGGGTCCTGGGATCGAGCCCCGCGTCGGGCTTCTCCCTCTGCCTACGGCTCTGCCTACTTGTGCGCTCTCTCTCTCTCTCTCTCTGTCAAATGGATAAATAAAATCTTTTCTAAAAAAGAAATAAAAACTAGAGAGAATAAAATTATTATGAATGATAAGTGAGATAAAAACATTAAATCCATAGTAGGCACTGATTCAATGTTCCCAATGAGTTAGGATTGGCCAGTGGGGTCACCAGTCACCCATACATTGAATTACACACACTGGATTCCGGACGGTCTCAAATTACGTGTAAATCTTTATTTAGAAATTTTACCAGAACAAAAGCTACCACACTACTTTTTAACTGTACATAGCATGAAAAGATAGAAAATCATTCAATGAGCTCCTATGCTTCACTGTTGTGAACTGAGGAGCCATGCATGTCTGAACATTAGTATACCCAACGATTACCTTCTTTAGAAACAGAACAAAAGAAAGAGTGTGAAGGAATTAAGAGATCTCAGCTGGTGATAAAACTTAGGTATCATATTAAGTCCTACTCTGAAAAAAACAGACATTTTTAAGAGGGTAATGACAAAATGTCCCCATTTGATGTACCTGTATTTTAAGAAACTCCTACTTCTTGGGCGCCTGGGTGGCTCAGTTGGTTAAGCGACTGCCTTCGGCTCAGGTCATGATCCTGGAGTCCCGGGATCGAGTCCCGCATCGGGCT